TAGTTTGAGGAAGAAGGAGTGCCTGACTCAAGCTATGATGTTTCAATTACCTTCATATGCATGGGAAAGCTGGACACTGAATAAGGAAGGCTGAAGAAGAATTGATGCCTTTGAATTTTGGTGGTGGTGAAGAATACTGAATGTGCCATGGACCACTACAAGAATTAACAAATCTCTCTTGCAGGATGTACAGCCAGAATGTTCCTTAGAAACAAGGATGGTGAGTAAGACTTTGTCTCACCTACTTCAGTCATGTTATCAGGAGGCACCAGGCCCTAAAGAAGGACATCATGCTTGGTAGAGAGTCAGTGAAAAATAACTTAAATGAGATAGACTGATACAGTGATGGCAACAATGGACTCAAACATAGTAATGATTATAAGGATGACACAGGTTGGGCAACATTTCATTCTATCATGCATAGGGTTGCTATTACTCAGAACTGACTTAATGACATCTAACCACAACAGCAGCTTTAAATGGAAAATTTTGAATGATAACTCTAAGAATACACACTGCTTGAAAAGGAACAAAAAACGAATAAAGATTTTTGCGAAAGAAAAGACATCTTTTTTATAAAAATGGCCAGAATATAATCTTTTTGGAGCTTTATATGGCAACTCATGAATTCAAACATTTAAATATAATAAAAATACATAAAGCACTGTGTGTCACATTTAATGGTTAAATAAATGACACCAGAGTGATAACTATTTTTTCTAAAACTTTAGTCTTAGGTATTTCTATAAGGTTTACATGTTTTTGAATAACTAATAAGATGTAGACAGTTACATGTCTATACCTTCTCATTTTCTACAAAATATATATTATCAGTACACATCTTTGCAGAAACATCAGGGTCTCCTTTCAATTTTAAGGTCATTTTCCAATGTTTTGCTTCATGTTGAGAACAGTAAACTTAAGAAGCTATAAGACTAGTAGATTCAGTTTCCAGTGGAAAAAATAAACTATTATATTTTTGTATTGAAATAAAACATAAAAGGTTGACTGTTCTCTGATACCAGAGCATATTGTTTTAATATACTTCATTAGAGTTTAATTAGGATGATTCTATCAGCTCTGATAAGAATATGAAATGAAAGATATAAAAGAATAAACTGATTTAATATGATAAGTTCATTAAAATATGTATTCTTACCACTTTGCAAGTTGGTATAACAAGATTTTCACAGCTACATTCTAAAAGGAAAAAATAAACATTTATAGTGATCAAAAACACTAATATCATTTAAATAAAACTTTAAAATATGAAAGGTACTTACCACAATGCCACACTGGACAACATTGACCAGATATATTTTCTTTCACAAGTTTCCTATCTTCTGCACAGTCAAGTAGTGGTATAGGGCAAAGATTTGGCTCACAAACTTAAGAGAAAAATGACAAGGCTAAAGATTAACTTTATGTTGTAATAGCCAGTTTTCATTACCTAGCATTTTGTTCACTGCCGTTATTGATTTAATTCATTAACACATCTCTCAAGTGTTGACTTTCGTAGCACTCAATTGCCATGTGTTGCTGAGGACAGAACAAGTGGCTCCTAAGGAGGTATAAAAACAGTACTAGTGCTCAGACAGGTCATCAGGTGAAGGGTCTTGAGAAATGACAGGGGTGCAAGAAGGGAGAGAAAGTCAACAGGGTGTGGAATCATCTGGACATCTAGAAATTCTACAATGAGGAAAAAAGGCATAGCACATCTGGTTTTCAGAGCTAATTATATTATCCAAGAACTCTTATTGCTGTTGTTATGTGCCATCGAGTCATCTCTGACTCACAGTAACCCCTTCTTGGGTTTCCAAGGTGGTATCTCTACAGAAGTAGATACCTTAATTTTCCTTCCAAGGAACAGCTGGTGGGTTTGAACTGCCAACTTTCTGGTTAGCAGTCAAGTGCCTTAGGCACTATGCCATCATGCATAAAAATACTGCACATGTTTAATAAATATTTCATATACAAGAATCTAGCTAGTGTTTGATATAACAGTACAATTCAGATACACTGGGCTTCTTAAACATTAACCAAACAACCCAAACTCATTGCCATCAAGTCGATTCTGACTCATACCGACCCCCATTTGGTTTCTAAGGAGGTAAATCTTTTCAGAAGTATATTGCTCCATCTTTCTTCTGCAAAGCCACTGATGGATTTGAACTGCCAACCTTCTGGTTAGCAGTCAAATGCCTTAGTCACTGCACCACCAGAGTTTCTTTCTTAAACGTTAAAAACCAAAAACCCAAACTCACTGCCATAGAGTCGATTTCAACTCATAGCAACTCCCCTTGGGTTCCTGAGGCAGTATCACTACGGAAGTAGATTGCCCATTGGACAAGTCTAAATATTTTTAATTAGTTTAAATACACTTACCACAGTAATACTGAGGACAGCAGAATTGTGTAATATTAAGATCCACAGTAAGAAACTCTCCATCAGTACACAGTGGAATAGCTTCAATGCAAGGTTCACACACTAAAGGCAAAACAACAAAAACACAGTTAAGCTAAACACAGACTAATTATTACTTTAGAAAACCATACACAGCTAAAATCGAAATAAAATATCTTGCATTTAATAAAACTGGGAGTAAGAAAAATAAGACTTTTACAGACAGATTTCCTTATTTCATCATAAAGACAATATTGCCTAAGTATATATGTTTTTCAAGCCCATTAATAAATAGAAGAACATCATCTTATCAGAAATATAGAGTATTCATATTCCCAGAATATTTTGTTTTTTCTAGGATCATTGACTTGTTTATTTAAAGTTTCTTTTTTAATTCATTATCCTCAATTACTCCAATTTTTAGATGAACATCAATATGTTGTTGTTGTTGTTATGTGCTGGCGAGTCAGACCCGGCTCATAGCAACCCCTCCTTGGGTTTCCGAAGCAGTATCACTACGGAAGTAGATTGCCCAACCTTCCTTC